AAAAAAAAAAAAAAAAAAAAAAAAAAGAAGCAAAAGACTTGTGGCTTGATCTCTAAATGCTCATCCAGGACTGGTATATCATCTAAGCAAGTATTTAGATCTTAAGTTAGCCATCTAGATGCAAAGCTTGCTTTTGAACAGTGGTTGTACACCTGGATGGTGCCGACGCCGCCTGAAATCATAGTGTAATTGGCTATCACGCTTCCGGATGGAAGAAATCGGGGTTCGATTCCTCGTGGTTATCAGATGTCCAAAGCCCTTCAGCTCTCTACAGCCCAACCTTTTTCTCGCCCTATGGGCTGAAGGAAGGCAAACCCTGGCAGGGGCCAGGTGTAACTTCCGCGAGTCGCGGGTATCAAATTCTTGATGTGTTTTTCTTAGTCGACCTTAGGTGAAGGTTATAAGTTATTTTTACAGACGATAGATAGATACTAATGCAAGTTTATGAAAAAAAAAAAAATTATGGGGGATTTGTAAACTTTGATAAGAGGACCCACCCTGCGAAAACCAACTCAGACTGGAATAAAGTAGGAGAGCAACAATTTGAGCGGATAGACGTACAGTAATTATAGATAAAGAAAAAATTTTCTATTTACCAATTCAAGTTAAGCTATAAGTATATCTCGTTCTATAGATCCAAGTGTCAAATTGTGGATGATCTCATCAGTGCAAATTCAAAAGTTCTATAAAAATGCTAATCGTTTTAAAGAGAAGACTTCAGTTCGAGCAAGATGGTGCGTACGTTACAGATGGATCGTTCACTGTTACAGTCTCTCTTATCTCAATCTGTTCGGGGGTTATCCGATTCAGCATAACATAAAAAAACTGTTGCACCTGTCCCATGTCATTACGGCAAAGAGCGAAACTTCTATCGTTAAGGCGTGAATTCTTGCAGCCATACATGCATGCAGTCCTATGATGAAGATGGGTCTCGGGTCGAGCTTGAGTAACGATGCAGTCAATTCTGTTTAGTTGGCCGGCAGTGTGCGTTATAGCCAGCATTGATCCTATATGAAACTGCTACCTTTAAAGGGACGCTCTTTTGGTTAACAGAAGAAAGTTACACGAAATTTTAGTGTCACTTGACAAATGCTTGGCAATGAATTAAGTAATTTGAGCATTGTGTGAGGCTGGACGTGAAGCTAACCCACAAGTTAGCCAAGAAAACTTCTTTTCAGTTTGCATTCCTAACCAATGTTAGCCACGTGTAATCATACCAAGAGAAGTTTATATCACTAAATTACTGTTCATATCTACTTCTGTTGCTTTGATTGCTGCTTTGCGTTAGTGTCTGTAAAACCAAGTTGTGCACGGTGCACGGTTTGTGATTTACATAACTAACTAAGCTTCATCAAATGTATTTGTGCTAACCATCATATTGAACGAACTGCACGGCTCATCAATATCCACATGCTCGATACAATATCGTCCCTCTCTACTTTCGCAATAGAGCATCCAAGAAAAATGTCTGTCCTGCATAATTCCCTTTTCTTTTTTTTTTACCCCCATGCATACAAGAATGTGGCAGTGCTAACTTATTGTCTCTTGACTGTGTGCCTAATTAGTTTTTTTGGTCGCTAACGGTAAGATCCAAATTCGTATAAAGGGTTCTTCCATTGATGCGAAACTGATCAAAAGTATCATGTCACCCGATGGACCCTTGCGGTCAGGCCCGAAGCAAATTAAATGCCAAGTAATAAACGTGGGATGGCATCGCCGTTGAATGGACGCAAGAACACACTTCATGCAGTCTCGCAAAATTGGTATCATGAGTATTTATTATGCAATGAGTTCCATCGTAAAAAATCAACGGACTTTTAGCCTCGTGTCATTCAACGACCTCTGCGACACTACGGAGAGACTTGAATTAATTGCTTGAGTTCAGTGGAAGATAAAGTCAACTACTTTCGAAAAGACTGCCGAAGATCACGATGCCCCTCCAATTGGTCAGAGCCATGCAATTCAAGGCGGTCAAGAACCGAGATCTCATGGCGTAAGTTCCAAGAGCGAAGATGAGAAAAGAGGTGGACACTTTTACACGCTGGATGTGGCCTCCACTATTAATGGGGATGGTCCTTACCGACAAACAGTTGAGCTGGTCGCAAGCACCTTTGATACGTCCGTCACTGATGGTTTATCTGAATCTGAAGCTGCACGTCGGTTGGAAGAACATGGCAGGAATGATTTAGGAGAAGAGGATTCAATTTCGCTCGTGAAAATCTTCGCCCATCAAGTCTTCAATGCGATGGTATTGGTGTTGATTATTTCGATGATTATTGCTTTTGCCATTCGTGATTGGATTCTGGGTGGTGTCATTGGTGGAGTTGTTGGTCTCAATGTTTTCGTGGGTTTTATTCAAGAGTATAAGGCAGAAAAGACTATGGGCTCTCTTAAACTGTTGCTGAGTGCTCTGGCGCGAGTTATGCGCGATGGTGCGGAGCAAAATGTTGATGCAGTGAGTGTGGTTGTTGGTGATATCGTCTTTATCAAAGTTGGTGACACAGTTCCTGCTGATTTACGTCTTTTTGATGCTCTCAACCTCGAAACTGATGAGGCCTTATTGACTGGTGAATCGTTGCCTGTTGCTAAGGACCCTACCATGATTTACAGTGACTCGCTGGTCCCCGTCCCAGTAGGTGACCGTCTCAATATGGCTTACTCGCTGTCGGTGGTTTCCAAAGGTCGAGGTTGGGGTATAGTTGTCGCCACTGGTTTGAAAACCGAGATTGGGAAAATTGCTGACGAATTAAAGCTGAACGATGACAGCGTTCTTGTTAAGGCCGGTAATGGCGTCTCGTGGTTCCAAGCCTTCTATCGCACTATATTCAGGGTTATTATGAATGTCTTAGGTACTAATGTGGGGACTCCCTTACAACGGAAACTTTCATGGTTAGCAATCATCTTATTTTGGGTGGCTGTTGTTTTTGCTATCGTGGTAATGGCTTCCCAAAAGATGGATGTCACCCGGTCTGTTGCCATTTATGCAATTTGTGTTGCCTTGCTGATGATTCCATCATCATTGGTTGTGGTATTGACAATCACTATGGCAATCGGTGCTCAAGTAATGGTGACGAAGAATGTCATCGTTAGAAAGCTTGATTCTTTAGAAGCTTTGGGTGGTATTAACGATATTTGCAGTGACAAGACCGGGACCTTGACCATGGGGAAAATGATCGCTCGCAAAGTTTGGATTCCTGGTAAAGGCACTTACGCAGTTGCCAATCTGACTGAACCCTTCAATCCCACAGTCGGTGATGTGTCATTTTCTCTGTTTTCCCCTCAAGAAATGGAGATTGTCGACGAAGAGCCCGAGTACACTTCCAAATTGCCGGAAACTTCGGAGCAGTTCTCACGCTGGTTGAAAGCTGCTACATTGGCCAACATTGCTCTGGTCATGCAAAATGCTGAGGGTGATTGGGAAGCTAACGGCGACGCGACAGAGATTGCCATCAATGTGTTCACGACTCGTCTTGGGTTCTCCCGCGATCTGATGATTGAACAAGAACTGTTGGTCCACATCAATGAATTCCCTTTTGATTCGTCTATCAAGCGAATGACGGCGATTTATCAAGGCAATGAGCTGGCCATGGTCTACACGAAGGGTGCAGTTGAACGTGTAGTTGAACTTTGTACCCTGAAGCTTAATGCCAACGGCGTCCCCGAACCGTTGACGGATGCTGACAAGGATGCTATCGAGGAGAACATGGCAGCTTTATCCACTGAAGGCTTGCGGGTGTTGGCGTTTTCACTGAGAGAGATTAACTTAGATGTGGAGAACCCAAATGACAGAGCAGAAGTGGAGCTGAATTTGACATTCTTGGGTTTAATCGGTATATATGATCCGCCAAGACCCGAGACTGCCCCATCCGTTGCGAAGTGTCATGGTGCAGGCATCAACGTGAGAATGCTCACCGGTGACCATCCCGGTACCGCTCGCGCCATCGCCCAAGAAGTTGGTATTTTGCCTCAGCGATTGTATCAATTTTCAGATGATGTGGTGGCGGCCATGGTTATGACGGCTACTGAGTTTGATGCCATGAGTGATGATCAAATTGATTCTCTTCCAGTTTTACCACTTGTTATTGCTCGTTGCGCCCCTCAAACTAAGGTACGGATGATTGATGCTCTTCACAGACGAAAGAAGTTTGTTGCTATGACTGGTGATGGTGTGAATGATTCTCCCTCTTTGAAGAAGGCCGACGTTGGTATTGCCATGGGTATGAATGGTTCCGATGTTGCTAAAGACGCTTCTGATATTATTTTGACGGACGACAACTTCGCCCTGATCCTCAACGCTATCGAAGAAGGCCGTCGAATGAGTCTGAACATTCAGAAATTCGTGTTGCAATTGCTTGCTGAAAATGTTGCACAAGCCATTTATTTGATGGTTGGTTTATCATTTTTCGACACTGATAATTTCTCTGTTTTCCCTTTGTCGCCTGTTGAATGTTTATGGATCATTGTTGTTACTCTGTGTTTCCCTGCCATGGGATTAGGTCAAGAAAAGGCCAACGACGACATTTTGGATCAACCTCCGAATAAGCTGATCTTCACTCGAGAAGTGATTATCGACATGTTTGCCTATGGATTTTGGATGGCATGTTGCTGCCTTACCATCTTTGCGCTTGTCGTTTTTGCCAAAGGCAACGGCTACTTGGGTCACAATTGTAACACTGACAAGGGTACAGGGTGCAGTTTGGTTTTCGAGGGTCGGCTGGCAGCTTTTGCTGCATTTACATGGTGTGCTTTGTTGTTAGCTTGGGAATGTATTCACTTGCGCAACTCGTTCTTTAATATGAGACCAGGTCTGGGTGTCCCCTGGTATAAGCTGTTAGCTCATGATCTTTGGGATAACCAGTTCTTATTCTGGTCTGTTGTTTTCGGCTTTGCTACTGTCTTTCCCGTTGTTTACATACCTGTTATCAATAAGATTGTGTTTTTGCATGGTCCTCTTGGTTATGAATGGGGTTTGTCTGTGGCTTTCACAGTTTTGTTTTTGGCTGGTTGTGAAGTGTGGAAATGCATCAAGCGCGTGTACTTTCGCGAACTGTCCAAACACCAAGATGCGGTGTCAACCAGTGATCCTTTCCTGCAGTATGCTACTTTTTCGAAACTGCTGACGTTGATTGTTTGAATTTGTCGTTGCTTCCAGTTTTTTTTTCTTTAAATAGTTTTTTTTTTTATTGGTAGCACGAATTGATTTTATAAGAAACGCAGAAGATGAATTCTCGAAGACAGGCCAAGGACATCGTTACGTAATTGAGTAGCAAACTGAAATATAGAGGCTTGAACTACTATCGTAATGCCTCCACCGACCTCTAATCGCGAAATTCCGATCCGCGTCGGCTTGCCTATTTTGGTTTGCCGACAGGGTGCACATACTACATGCGGTCAGTCAAGCTGAGGGCATCTTCAGATCTCGATCATGGCGCTTTTTCAAAACCTTGCCGCCAACGATCAGAGACTGTCGAGCTCCAGTACATACCCTCGTAGATTATCCATAATATGAACCCACCAGCCGCAAAGCGCATCTATGGTCCTAATTAGTCAATCTTCGACGCGCATTCGCCTTATCACCCCGCGGAGCCACATGTCAAGTGGGGTATATATATAATCAGTATAGTATCACCAATGCCAAGTGAAAGTACTACTATGCCTTCGGCTAACCAACCTTCGGTCACCTTCGAACAGTTTCTTGTGAACGATCCTTTGGACACTTACGAGGATCCTGTGAAGTTTGAAAAGTACAAACCCAACATCAATCTGTACCGTGCAGCTCTTGCTAATGAGGTTGACGAACTGGGATTCAAAGCAACCCTTCCCAAAGAAGTTGAAGACTTGGTCAAGGAGCAATTCAATCCGCTTGAGTGGTTGTACACTTCGGATACTATGAGTGAACGGGAATTGACAATCACTGACACACCCTCCCGCAAATTGGTTGAACAAATGTCAACGGGCCAGCTTCTGGCCGAGGAGGTTTTCAAAGCGTTTGCCCATCGCGCTGTCATCTGCCACCAATTCACAAATGCAGCTATGGAATTGTTCTTGCAAGAGGGGCTCGAACGGGCCCGGTGGTTAGATAATCAATTGAAGGAAACTGGGAAACCAGTTGGGCCGCTTCATGGTTTACCTATTTCTTTGAAAGAACAAATGAACTACCGCAACCACATCACCCATGGTGGCTATGTTAAAAATATCACAAACATTCCGACGGAACATGGTGTCACGACTAAAGTTTTGGAAGATTTGGGTGCTGTGTTCTATGTTCGGACTACCCAACCACAGACCTTGATGCATTTGTGCTCTAACAATAATATCACAGGCATTTCTCGCAATCCCCACAACTTATCACTCACTCCGGGTGGATCATCATCTGGTGAAGGCGCAATCTGTGGTTTTGGCGCTTCTTCCATCGGCGTTGGTTCTGACATTGGTGGCTCAATTCGAGGACCCGCTGCTTTTTCCGGTTGTTTTGGATTGAGACCTACTACTCGCAGAATTTCCACCTTGGGTGGTATATCTTCAAACGCAGGTCAAGAGCTGGTACCTGCGGTGGTCGGCCCTTTGGCGAGATCCGTCGATGATATTGACTTATGGATGGATGCGTACATTAATCATGGCACAGCTGCAGAAAAAGATGCTTGGGTATTACCAATGCCTTGGCGAAAGCTTGAAGCACCTGAACCTCAAACTATTACTGTGGCTGTTATGTATGATGATGGACTCGTCAAACCAACTCCCCCTATTAAGCGCGGTTTAGAGTACACTACTGAAAAGTTGAAAGCAGCTGGTGTGCGGGTAATCGAATTCAACCCCATCAACACCAAGTTAGCCTACGAAACCATCAACAACATGTACACATGTGATGGGAATTGGATGAATAGACAATTGTTAGGAGAGTCCGGTGAGCCGTTATGCAAATTGACTAAGTGGTCTTTGAATTATGGTAAAGGGTCGTACGAGTATCCTGCTCATGAAAATCGACAACTTAATTTCATTCGTGATGACTTGAGAAATCAGTACAATCTGTGGATGGTGGAGAACAAAGTCGATTTCATTCTTGCTCCAGTTTTCGGGAATGTCGCTCCAAAGCCGGAAACGGCGTACAACTGGTCATATACCACTTTGTTCAACATTTTGGACATGCCTTCCTTGACCATACAAACTGGACTCTTCCAAGATCCTGAAAGGGATAGGTGGGACAACGCGTTGTCGTCCTACCAATACAGATCACCTCTTGAACAACTTGAATTGGAGCAATATGATCCTGAACAGTTCAAAGGAGCCCCGATCGCCTTTCAAATTGGTGGTAGAAGATATCATGATGAAGAAGTTGTTGCCGCAGGAAAAACCATCGTTAAAATTTTAGGTGTGGATTTGTATAAGCACTAGAATAGCTAATAAACGGAATCTATTACTTCCGGAATTCCAAAGCCTTTTGGGCCATCACCAAAACACTCTCCCTTGATTGAGCGCCACCAATGAAACCAGCAGCATGCACAAAAATACCATCCTTGATGCCGGCCGCATCCGAAAGTGCTTCATCTCTAAGCCCTCTCCATGCTTGAGGCAAACCCAATCTGAACTCAAATGAAGTCAGAGTCACAGAAACGGTCAGAACTCTCCATTTTCCTGAAGAGTCAGCGAACAAAACAAACTTGATTTGCCCTTCGGCATTGTTGTCTTTCTCAATGGAATAAAGATGCTCCTTCCATGGACAGAATTGGTCCAAGATCATAATTTCTCCTGAGGGATCAATCTCAAATCTCTGAACGAACGATTGTTCCACGATTGTCCGTGCAGGGAGCCATCCAAGACCATAACCCTCCACAAGCTGGTGGAATGCAAGACCCATGAGTTCCAGAGCCTTTTCAAACTGACGATCGAAGTCAGCGTCGGTAGGCTCTAAGTTCCAGCGAGGATTCAATTTGGAAACCATCAGGGGCAAAGTAATATTCTTTTCAGAGAATTTTGCGGGGGTGTCTTTGGGATAGTTATTAATCCCGTTGTCGTTCGCGTCCAATGCTTCCACAAATTCTTTATAGACTTTTTGGTACAAGATTTCCAAATTGCCTTCATCTTGAGGTCCAACGATCTGAGTTATGATATCTTTACCGAAGTGCTTGTAAACCAACCCAGCTGAGGAGAGTTTGGTTTTGTGGTCTGGAGAAAAAGTTGTATCAAATTCTCTTTGGTGATGATCGAAGTATTTCTTGCCATCGTACTTGCCAGAAACATCGACGACGATGTCTGCGCGTTCCCAGTCTTCCGGGCTCCTCAGTCTGACAAGGCTCGAATCTTTGTATTCGGGAAGGAGGCGAAGCATGTATACAGCCAATGACTCATCAGCATGGAATGACCCCGAATGGGTACAGATTATCTTTGCCATTTTCGATCGTTTAACAACCACAGACATCGCGTGCGATGGGGAAAAGTTTTGTGTGTGGAGTGAGCGTAGTTTCGAAAATCGAAGTGACGCATGCAAAAACGGTGCGGTCATGAAAGATTTCAAACTTTCAAACTTAAAGATTCGTGCAAGATAAAAAAGGACTCCGGTACAGGGAATCGAACCCTGATTTGCTCGGTGAAAGCGAACCGTGATAGCCATTACACCATACCGGATGCTCTTTGGCGGGGAATCGAACCCCGATCTCCCGCGTGACAAGCGGAAATACTAACCGTTATACTACCAAAGACGCTTGAGGTCTATCGCTTATCCGTCATTACATCAGAATCATCTAAACTCACGTCCTAACCGCCTCACCACATTTTTTCCATACACTGAGTTTTTTTGCCGTTGTTGGCTTTCTCAGACTGCATGGTGTCAAATGCGAAGGCTTCACAGACGTCTAAAACCCTTTAAGGCGTATGTAAGTTTTCAATTTACAGGTAGATATTAATGCATACTTATAGATAAAAAAAAAAAAAAAAAAAAATTGGATATCACTGCAAAACTAAGGAAAACTACCTAAGGCCTCGGACCCAAGATGACATTTACCCTATGGACCGGTGATTGGCGAAATTTCAGCAGGGACCTGGTGTGACTTCTGCAAGTCGCAGATTCCGATTTTTGATGTGCTTTCTTGGTCAGTTTTAAGAAAGGGTTATGAATTATACTAACAAACGATAGGTAGAATGCAGGTAGGTCATAAATTTTTTGAGGTACTCTGAGGCGTAAATCGAAGGTATGCTTGATTAACCTGGATGCAAGGATTTTCAAGAATTAATTAAAGGACCACAAAATCCGATGAAAGAAAATGAAAAGAAAAAAAAACGAGTTATACAAACATCCTATCTTTCACATATATTAAGCAGACTGATTCTTTTTATACTAGGATCAAACGGCATGCATTTATATTGGTCGAGGTTGAAACTTTCAAGATGGGTTCGACTACAGCTCGCAATTCCGAAGGTTATCGTTTGTTGAAATGGGACGTCACAGACACTGAATGGCAAACAAAAATGGAAGAGTTTCCCCTGTGATTCTGAAGAAACGCAACTTTTTCAAGCGGGGTTCGAGTAACATGCAATTTGGCAACCTTCAAATCTGAATCCCGATTTCACATTCATAACGTTAAGTCGTTTGTGGGTGTGATCCTTTTAAGTAATTAAAAGAAGAAGGCGTGAATGTTATATGATTTTACTGGTCATTTAATGGTGTGAGCATTTGATGATCTTCGTAAAAGCCATCCGACAAAGGTTTTTGAAGCCTCTTAATATACGCCTTGCGTTGAAGTCTAGAACCAAAAAATCCATGCCGAAGATGTTTAAATTTGGCGTTCCCATAAACTACTCAGAATTGTTTCCATTCATTTTCTGGACCTGGTTGATTAGGCCAAAGTCTATGCTCTTAAGGTAGCAATGGTAGTCAATCACTCAGCGCCAAACTCGGATCCAATCATCACAATCGATTTGTGCGGCTATCGGCTTCATCTGCAAAAATGTCGCGTCTGTGACGTTCGCGACTCCTCAACATCAAGGGCGCCACCATTTTTTGGCCCCAACAATCGTAAATTTACCCCAATATTTGTAACTGCATGTGCGACCAATTGTGTCTTACCAGCTCATTTCGTTAGCGAAAATGTGTTCTCAAATTTATGTTTTAAAAAATAAGGCCTTACGGTAGCAATCGAATTATCTGTGTGTACTTGGATGCAAAAAGTCGAAGGCACTGCACAAACTTTGAAATGCTGAGCACTAACCCACTCAAGATTAATGTATAATATCATAGGGTAAAGCTTTTTACGAAACATGTTGCCGCTGATTGTAAAGTTCAATGCCTTCCAATCTATTGGTCATCTATGGACATTGTTTTTATTTCAATATGATGCATTACGCGTTGGGGGTAAATGCATTAATTGTACATTAAACCCCCACTCATTTGCATTACCAGAGCTCTTGACTACGCACTTCACTATCAAGAGTGTAGTTTTTTTACAGTGAAATCATGTTCATAAGATAATTAGTGTGTTCGTAGCTAGTGTCGAGGTGCTTACACCTTGTGGGCAATCTCGTGTTCCTTCTCTTCTTCCGAAGTGGATTGTTGCGAACCCATGAGATCCGCATTTTCGATGTGCTCCTCGTTGTTTTGAGTCATCTTGGCTGCTAACTCCGCGTCGCTCAAAATCGGCATCGATGGTTGCCAACTGCTTGACTTCCAAGGAAGCACGTGTTCGTCCCACATTTGACCGATTTCTTCCAATCTCCTACCTCTGGTTTCGGGGAAACCGAAAAAGACGTGTACCGCCATGCAAGCACAGAAAGTGGCATAGATCATGTAAGTTTTCCACGAAATGTTTTGGAAACCAATAGGCGTGTACATGGCAATGGCAAAGTTGAAAGCCCAGTTGGCCGCAGTCGACAAACTGGCACCTCTTTGTCTCGAGGCCGAGTCACCCCAAACTTCAGAGCAGTATAACCAGATACCCACACCCCAAGTCATGGCGAACGAACAAACAAACAAGTAGCAACAAGCAATGACACCCTTTTGAGCAGGTCCATCTGAGGCAGGAATCTTAATGGTGACGGAGGGTGAACCTGAGTCAGGGAAGGGCACCGAGTATTGACCGAGGATACCACCGACAGCAAATTGACATGCCATCATCATAATCGCACCACCAATTAAGAGAGGACGTCTCCCAATTTTGTCCATCAAGTAAAGAGCAGGAACTGTCGTCACACAGTTCAAAATGTATTGAATGGAACCAGCAACAAGATTTGCACTTTCCCCAGTGTAACCAGCCATCTCGAAAATGTAAACAATGTAATACATCATAACGTTCATACCGGTCAATTCTTGCCAAACCTGAGCCATAACCGCAGTGAAAGTTCTCAACCGGTACTTCTTGTTAAACAAGTCAATGAACTTGAAGTTCTTACCAGCTTCTTCCACCAAGATTTGTTCCTTGATTTCTGACATTTCGATAATGACATCAGGGTCCTCTCTGTTACCGTGGGCTTGAGTTTCGGCGACAATTCTCTCAGCATCTTCCCAGTAACCTCTCTTGGCCAACCAACGAGGAGATTCGGGGATGAGGAAAACACCAAGGAACAAGAACAAACCGGGAATAATTTGAATACCCCAAGCAATCCGGAAAGACGCAGTACCGTGGATCTTACCGAGACCGAAACCAATGTAAAACATAATCAAAATCCCGAGGGTGACCGAAAATTGGAAAAGACCACCAACAGTACCACGGTGCTTTCTGGGGGCCAATTCTGAACCATAGACAGGAGCAACGGATGAACCGAAACCCACACCCCAACCAGCAATAATACGACCACAAATTAATTGAGCCCGGTTTTGCAGCGACAGTTGGATGGCGGCACCAACCATCCAAAGAAAAGAACAAATTAAAAGCGACGGTCTCCGCCCGAATGGTTCAGAAATAATAGCGGATGTGATGGAACCAAATAACGACCCAAGCGACATAGCAGCAGTGATCAAACCTTGCATCTCAGAACTAGGAGAGTCAAAGTACTCAAGGTAAGGTTTGATACCAACGAAGGCTGACATAGACGAAATGTCAAAACCAAACATCATCCCCGAGATACACGAAATCATAGCAATAACGTAAACATTGTGAAACTTGGGTCCCTTGTCAAGGATATGACGAATTCTGTCAGCGGGCCCAGCAAACTTTTCTGCCAATTGCATTTTTTTTTATTAGCGCCAGGGAATGTTGAAAGAAATTGTGGGGCCCCACCTTTCATTTAAATATCTGGGGGAGTGGGTGCTGAATTGCATGGAGTACCAAAAATCCATATTTTTTCTTCTCATGCAAAGACTATAAAAAATATCGTGACGGACAAGGCGCGTATGCAATTTCCCGCCTCCTCATCTTGAATTGCGGAGAGCAGCACCCGGATAAACTTCATCCAATATTTGAAGTTATTGTCGTGTGAATGGGTGTATAATACCCTCTTTCGCAAGCAATCATTGGCAACCGCTTCGTAGACTCGTTTCCATAACCTTGTGTCTCGTCCCCACCACATCGGATAAATCTTTTGCCGTACACGGAGGGCATCTGCATGGCACGGCAAGAAAAAAAAAAAAAGTTATACACAGGTTGGATATGTGCCTTCGCCGAAGAGAAATCATCCGGCCCCAGAATATTTTACAAAAAGTTGGGGTTGGACATTCAATCCAAGGGGTATAGAATTCTCTTCTCCGGAAAAACTAGTAAGTTTAAGTTGGCTCTACTTGTACGAAACTTTTCCTTAGTTAAAGGATTGAGCTGCTGATTTCGGAAAAGTCAGCCAGTTGGAGAGGCTACAAAATACAATTTACCCATCTACCGGCATGAGAATAAACAGTCCTTCATCGTAAGACAATTCAAAGAATAACTAGTGACAAAACGAATGAGAATTCGGCTCCGGAACAACTTTGTAGAATGCACTATTCATAACCAAAGGGGCTCCCCCTCAACCAGGAGCTCCCGCCAGAACTTTTGTCAGGTGAGGTAACTGGGCTTTGTCGCCGGAGTCTAGCCAACCGTTTTAAGGTATGCGTCGCTGCCATTGATGAAATTCAGGTTGCGGATGTAGCCGGAGCCGAACTCGACGGGCAGGAGCGGGTTAAGCGCGACGTGTTCAACAAAGTACTTGCCGTAGAGAGTATAGAGCACCTGTTGCAAGTTATCGACGCTGGCGTCTGAAACAAGCACAAACTTGAAGTTGGTTGCCAGCTCGAAAAAATGGAGGCGGAACTCGCCCAACGAAAACAGTTTGAGGGTGTTGTTGGCGACGAGTTTGGCGCAGAGGTTTTTGAGCGAGTAGAGCATGCCGAACAAGAGCTTCAGCGAGTTCAGGTCGTTGTTCTTGTTGATACTGCCCGACCCAGCGAATTGCCGGTCGTAGATACAGTCGCAGTGCCGGTCAAACACGTAGAACAGGTAGATCATGGGGAGCCCGCTGCGGTGGTGGTTTGATTTCGCGGTGCGCCCACGGTGCGGCTTTCGGTAACTGTTGCCTCCGCCGAACAACATAGAGTCTCGCATTCCCTCATTTTTATCGGCCCCACGCTGCGTAACCGAGACCCTTCATGACCGATTCTGGCTAGGTGATGCTAAGCGACCCAAACACCCAAAAAAAAAAAAAAAAAAAAATCCCACAATTGTCTACAGCCACACCCAAAAGCATACACATTCCGAATTAAACTGGGGACAAAAAGCAGGAGCAAAAGCAATGGATGAAAATTTGTGTGAGTCACCTAAACAGGGCCCGAGAGATAAACACCCGATAGTAAAAAAAGCACTGACCAGTTTCACAGATAAGCAGGTCGCCCCGCCACAGTTTTCCTAGTTAATCTCTAGATTGACGTGAAAACGAAGATCTTCTCCACCACAAATCGCCAGATAAGCTAATCGGCCCACGTTGGCTGCCGCCACCACCAGCAATGGTTACGCTTTCGCCCGTCTCTGTTTTTGTTCGAGCCTTGGCCCCCGGTCGCACCCACCACCACCATGGAGTGGTTACGGCAGACTTTTCAGCAGTAGCCATCGCAGCAGATATGCGCTAACACGTGGAGGGTTTTTTTTTACTAAGGTACAGTAGGTAGACAATGGTAGGTGTAATGGCAATCTCTAGTTACGTGGACAACTGTATCTAACAAAGCGTGTGTCTATGGCCGGGTTCGGCCCGTAGCCTCCGCCACTTCCGCCGCGGTCTCGACCTCGTCGTGGCGCTGCCTCTCCTAACCGCACGCCAACGTCACCGACACTATTCATCCTAAAAAAAGCAGTCCCCGACGCGGAGCAGGGTGCCAGCAGCACTGGAGGGGAACGGTGATAACCGCTAGGGTGCGGTGGCGGCCCGAGACAACAACAGCCCCGAGCCATGCCACCACCGAAATTTAGGGTAGACAGCGCCACCGTCCACTGTGGCGCCATCAACACCGCCAACTCCGGTCGACAATGGTGGGGCTGGTCGCCGATAGCGTCCTCCACCACCACAGCCAGTGGTGGCGCTGGGCCCTGAGTCAACGCCGAGAGCCGGCGGAGTGTGTGTAAGCGCATCCTCACTAGAGCTCGACACGTGCATGGATTGCTGCATGCACCCAAATGCGGTGAGAGGACAACGATGGTTAGCGGACGCCACAGGTGAGGCAGATGCCACCCCTTGTCGATGAGATCAGCGTATATATAGCTCAAACGGGCCCGGGGTATATTAATCACATCAAGGAAAAACTTGTCTCAGCCTTACCAAGCTTTACCAAACCTTTAAAGCCAACACCACTACCGCCTACTACTACTTGATATTACCCAATTGATGATGAGTGACGACGAAATCTTTGAGTTCTCCTACGACTCCGAGGACGAGGTGCTGACACCGCTCTCGACCTACGACGACGACGAAGACACCCACTACTACTTCGCCGCCAAACCCGACGCCTGGGGGCTGGCCCCTCAGGGGTTGATGTACGAATGTGTCATCTGCAAACAGGTGGTGTCGAGGGGCACCAAGTGCTGCAACGATGAAGAGGTGAACAACCTGTGGGTGGGCACCAACTACCACTTATGGCTTGAAATGGCGAGGTGATTCTTATCATCACCTGCCTTGGGTTTTCTTTTTCAGCCCTGCCCTTCACTCTGCATTTCATTTAACGACAGCAACGACTACTAATTATTTGCACAATATAGACATATACTACAATATCACGACAAATAATTGATTCAACTAAAATAGAATTTATTAAACCCAACATTTGCTGGCTCATCGTGTTTAGAATACATTAAGCATGAGTATATTTCACGTGGGGTGGTAGTTATCGCATCCGTATTTGGTTGAGGGCGGAGGGTGGTTATCGCAGGGTGGTTATCGCATCGGGTTTACATCGGTAATTACCACTTTATCTCAAAGCACTCGCTTATCTAAGTCTGTGGCAGGAAAAAGATAGTGGAGCAATGGTGTTCAGACAATGGGTGTGAGTCACTCCGAGGCGGAGAGTGTGGCGTTACTTGCTTTTGAAGGGACAAGCCGTAGAGCCTATCGCGACCTAGGCCGAAGTCGGGGGAAAATAAGTATGCCGACAATATGGATCGTAGAAGACTTGGCGACGATTAGTCGATTGGTTCGTATGTTTTTTGTTAATCTATATGCAATAAATACATCGTTGCACGAGCTGGTTCACTTTTCAAGGTCAATGAACTTGCCGCCCTTGGCAAATCTGGGGTGTCTGGGGTCGTTGATGAATTCGTCCGAGTTCATCGACGCTTGGGCACCCTTGTACACCAAACCGAGGGTGATGACCGCTATATCGAGTTAGTATATGGAATAATGAAAAAATTGATTGGCAGGAGTGAAAAGTGAGGGAGGGTGATCGCTAACGTCAAAGGATGGACACTGCAATTGAATCACTCATAAGCATTGGCTAAGTCATACCAATTGCGATGTGTACCAATCAACTTTTCACGTTGAATCACAGGGTAAGTGCCACGTAAAGGCATCTTCCGTCTTTAGGCAGTGTCGAGCGCAAACCTCAGGTTAACCTTGCCCTCACCATCTTCTTCTGCCTCAACAGGGGGAATCGGAATCACATACCGCCAGCGGCGTAGGGCCAGTAGTACTTGAACACGGGAGTGGGGAACTTTTGCAAGGCCATGTTGATGTTGAACCTACCAGAGGGGTCGAAAAAGTTTTTGGCTTAGTGCGACCTGGGTCGAGCGGCCAATCGGAGCGCCGCTAGCGAGTATGCAGGAATGGTAGCGCTACACCGCTACCAATACTACCGTGTAACGAACACCCATGTCAAACAGTCACTATTTTAACGTCATATATGTATATATATATTGTCATTAGCATTAGATTATTGTACACTACCTACTTGGGTGTGAGTTTATAAATGAGGATCTCGGGAGTGCCCGGAGGGTACCAAAACCCTGCCACCTCGTGGTGCGGATCCGGACTTCGGCTCACCACTTCGACGGTAAATTCTGTCGGCGTAAGTTCATTCCACACCGCAATTGTCTCCTGGTTTCGAATCGTAGCAGCGATGTATGCCACCGTAGCTCCTCGAGAAAATTCGTGGCGAATCGTGTGTACTAGTGCCGGCACTACCAGAGCGTCGTAGGTGATATCGGCACCAACAATGGTATCGACGGTTTCGGCACATTCGTCTTCACCCCACCATAGCCGTTGGAAATGGATGTGATCGGGTTTTAGTTGGTTTAACGCCATACTCTCTCCCATCCGGTCAATGAGTGACGATGTACCATCACTGATATAGACGTCACCTGCCACCCCCCATTTCGCGATGGCAAGACCTACTAGCCCTGTACCTGCTCCCAATTCAAGCACGCCACGTTCCTGAATATTATCTTGATGGTTCCAAAGGTAGTGGGTGAGGTATACCGCTGCCTCCCACGTGCGGAGCCCAGTGGTGGCCTGACCACTAATGATATGGGGATTCTCCCTAAGCCACACCGTGGTGGGACCCACAATGTAACCTAACACATCCTCATCTTGTCTTTCAGGACCTCCAGTAGCAAGAAGCTCGCCAAGCAACTCGTAGGCCCCGTCAACATCGTCTTCGTCGTCATTATTGTCGTCATCAGTAGGGGCCTGATCTAGGTACCGCTGGAGTACTTTGCGAGCGTACACCGGATTATACGGCACCACGTGCTTTGTCAATGCGGTTATCAAATCATGGCGAGGTCCAAGTTGAGTGTAATCGATGAGGTGGGCTGGCTGCCGCTGGTAAATTGGTTGAAGTGACATATTTCAGTGTAGGTGGCTACCTTTCTGCGAAATCCTCCAGGGCCCCATAACCGGTTCTCGACTTAAAAAAAGCATTTCGCGATGAGTACGATCAGTTACCCGATTGCGGGGTACGCTCGTGTGCGGCAATCGACCGCTTACGCCCACCCGGCCGCTCATCCGCGGTAATTCTTCGTCTGGTAATCACTTGGTGACGACCTTGTGGCTCAAAAAAGTGCTGATGCCGGCATCACCGACTGCACAATGACCCGGGCACCAGCACAGGCTCTTACGCTGGTTTATCTGTCGTGACGACGCCTATCTTCGATAAGCGATAACGTATCCGGTGATAGATCCCAAAGATACCACTGATAAAGCTTAGTGTGTATATTGACAGATTAGCCACTAGTAGTAAAAAAGAAGCACAAACAACAATGAATTTAGCAATCGAGAGTGGTATCGCCAGTATGCGCTCACACTTCCTGTTTCTCTGATTTGATCAGCATATCGCCAAAAACATATATCCAAAGCAAGCAATAGACTACGATTCCGTCTAAATTAATGATCAAGCTGTTATCTTTGTTATTTTTTTATTATTTTTCTCTCTTATATCGATGCTTGGGTTTACAGCGACACGCCAGGTGTCTCTAATGGTAGTCTATGCAGTGGTACCGAAGACTCTCAATCTCTTCACCCCACCGTCGGGGATCATCTTCAAGAGCACGTGGGTGTAGACAGCGTCGCCGTCGACGGGGTACTCCAACTCCTTGTCGGCGCCAGTGGGGGAGTTGGGGACGATTTCGGTCCAGTCGGACTTCACTGAGAGCGTCGATTCGTCGCTGGTAGAGATGGCCAGCACGTTGATCTTCTGAGGGAAGTTACCCCGGAAGAAGGCAGTGTCGACCACCACCTTCTTGATGTTGGTGGCAGCACCGAGACGGACAATCACCCAGTCGAAGTGGTCGGCGCCACGAGATCTGGCGGTTTCCCACCCGTCAGACATGTCGACACCTCTGCCGGGCAAGAGGATGTTGGAGGCAGGCGAGAAGTGCTGGTCGGAGCAGGCAATAGCCACCCCACCGTTGCCGACGGCGGCGGTGTCGATGACGGCCCCCTTGGTCAAGTTGGTGGGCACCACCTTACCGTAGGCACGGAACCGGGCAATACCGCCGTCAGGGTACATTCTCAACCGCACATGGGTGTAGTTCTTGTCGGTCAACCCCTGGTCACGGACAAAGAAGAATTGTTGCGACGGGCCGCACTCGACTTTGTCGATGACGGTTTCCCACTCGGTGATGTCGTCGGAGTCGAAGTTTTGCGCCGCCTCCACCGAGATTTCGGGGGCACAGTTACCCTTGAAGTTATCAGTGTCGACCTCGACCCCGATCAACTGAGCCAGCGCCACCCCCATCTTGAAAATGACCCAGTCGGCTTCCTCGGTGTTGTGGCGTCTCGTCTCCCAGCCGTCAAACCACTTGCCGGTGGGGACGAACTTGGTCAAGTCTTGCACGGCCTTGCCGGGCTTGATCAAGTTGGCGGCCTCGGCGAAGAACTCATCGGAGCACGACAACACCTGGCCGCCGACTTGTTTGCCGATAACGTTAGTGTAGTTGTTAACGATCTGCGATTGGAACTGTTCAGCGGAAAGCGTCTTCACCATGGTTGGATGTGTTTGTGGGGAGGTAAACCGGCGGATACGCCGTACCTTTATATCATGATTCTCCTCAAGGTCCCGCCGTCGGAATTTCCCGAATCGCCTGCACCGAGGCGGCCGCGTGCAGATTGTCACCTGCGATCATGATAATAGTTATCGTCGCCATTTCACCCTCCAGAGTAGACTATATCGATAAATTATTAGTGTTTTCGTGTTTATCTGGTGACGACAATCAGTCTCGTACCAAATTCGACTACTTTTGATGCAATTTCAAATTTTTCATCTTCACGATCATCGGCACATCCGACGGATGTGCCGGTCGCTCCAAATTCAAAAGTGTTTATTTGTATGAAAACCTCAACTAAAACGGTGGAAAATTGATGCAATACAAAGCCGTCACGATAAATTTATACCCTATATCGTTATTTCCACAAAACTGCTGTGTTTCCTCCCAAATCATCGTTCTCGGACTAGTCCGATGGTAAAACTAGCGCTGAGGCACCACGAATGCTGAATTTTTCGAGAAAAAAGCTAGTAGCCATGGTCTACAAAGTAGCGGCAACCCTCGGTCACTGTTTACATGCCTCCTTCGTCCCATCTACGGGAGTTTTCTCGTCCTTAATGTTAAGGTTTTTTTTGCTCTCGGTGAAAATAGAGGCGGACTTGCACCCGCCGGCATTTCGCGGTCACCAGCCTGAACCACAGTTTACCCACCCCTGCGACCGACACCACACCTAATACATGATTTTACTGCGTAACAACGCAACATACAAGTCTTCTACGACAATTACTCCCACCCAATGCTCTTCATACCTCAATATTCTATCTTATTAGCGGTGATGTCGCGTTGTTTTCTCAGGACGTGGTGGCTAAGCATGAATTGCTTTTTTGTAAGTTAGGCTTGCGTTTTGAGCTTAGGGGATCATACAAGTCACGATTTTGCAGCCACGCGATGATTACCCGAAAACACCCACCTGCAGCCACCACTTTAGGGGGTTCTTCCGACACGTCTCACTCTGCGGAACTCGAATGGCTTTACTATCATTGCCACTCCTCACTGCTCGTTATTGCAGAAGTAGACTCACTACGAATATTCATTAATGAGTTTTGACCACAAATGAACACCTTGGCTACTCATTATAGCAGCAACAATAATGATCATTTACCTCTCCATTTTCGAAATTTTGTTGAGCTTTTATTGTCTCGATATTGCTAAAATGTGAGTGTCCTCATCTTCGCACCTCGCTCGCTCCCAGAGATTCGTTTTACGTATCGCTGGAGACGCGAGGTGGGGTTCGCACTCGCATTGACAAAAATTCATACTCCGGTAGTCGCCACCATGATTATGCTTCGGCACGTCCCGCCACGGGTAGTCGCCAGGACAGCGTCTTTCAACTTGGGAAGGCTTGTACCGTGTGTACGGTCCTTCCTGACATGGCAACCACTTCGAAACAAATCCCAGAGGGATGACAACGTCGAGCGGGAAATCGAAAAGCTCAAGCAGTTGAAACAACGCTATGAACACGCCCACTTTTTCGAAAAGATCAGACTCAAATCGGAGATGATGAACCAGCTGATCAAAGTGCAGCAGGCTCAGGCAGAACGCTTGTTCAACGATCTGAAAAAGACCCCGGTGATCCCGGTCCACAACCCTGAGGACCCGAACGAGATCAAACGCTACCAAGTGATTTACAATTTTATGCTCAACTCCTTCTTGGATCAGTGTAAGGTGGCGCAAGCTTACCCTAACGCTCAGTCAAACCCCGACACTATCATCGATGAAATCATCACCATGTTCAAGAAATTGCACACTGAGACCGTCCCCATCACCAAGGATGATGTGCTTTTCTACTTTCACATTTACTGGGCTATTGCCAACAACGAAGTTTACATGGATGAGCTCAAATTCGACTCGCCAGTGGTGCAAAATCTTTTGGATCAATACGTCAAGCACAGCCCTTACGACGAAGAGATAGTTGCTAAGGTGGCCAAGGACGGCAACTTAGATCCCGTGGTGGTTGAAGGATGGTTTGAAGTGTTCGACACTCTTGCTCTGACACCGTTTTCCACCTCCGACAACAAACTCGAGTGCCTGTTGTGTCCCTTACAGTACGCTCAATACCGCGCTGTTACCGAAGAACTTAATGCCATTCAGGATAAAATTCGTCTGTTATACGGTAAGCAACTGCAAGAGCAAGGGGCGGCTAAGGACAAGAAGCGTCCTTTTGTGCTGTTCGAATACGAGACCAGCGACAGCAAGGGTCAAAAGAAGCGTCCTCAAAGTAAGGATGAGAAGGTGATTGAGTTCCGCGTGGGTCCGGCTCAGCTTTTCCAAATTGGGTTGCTCGTTGGTTTGACCATCTTTATCTTGACTTCGATGAATGACGGCCCTCAACCTGACGAGTTGTCTTTCCAAGAATTTGTGACTCAACTCTTGACGAAGCAGATGGTTAATCGCCTTATCGTGGTGAATGGGAAGACTTGTCACGTCGAACTCAATGACAATGGTCACCGCAACTACAACCACCGCAACTTCTTTTTCAACATCGCTCTGATTGAACAGTTTGAAAATCAACTCAAGGAAACCCAAGATGAATTGAAAATTGACCCTTCGTTGCGTGTCCCTGTGATCTATCAAAGCTCTGGTCAAACCCTGAAGATGTTAATTAACTTTTTGCCTACTCTTCTCTTCTTGGGGGCGATTTACTACATGACGAAGAAGGCTGGTGCTGCTGGTATGGGTGGCCCATTCAACTTTGGCAAACTGACGGCAAAGAAGTTTAACCAGGAAACTGATGTGAAGGTCAAGTTTAAGGATGTTGCGGGGATGCAAGAAGCTAAGGAAGAAGTGATGGAGTTCGTCAAGTTCTTGCAAAACCCGGAGAAGTACGAGAAGTTGGGGGCCAAAATCCCCCGTGGTGCCATTCTTTCTGGTCCCCCGGGTACGGGTAAGACCTTGCTTGCTAAGGCCACTGCAGGTGAAGCGGGTGTTCCTTTCTACTCTGTGTCTGGTTCCGAATTCGTGGAAATGTTTGTTGGTGTTGGTGCACTGAGAGTGCGTGACTTGTTCAAAACTGCTAGAGAAAATGCTCCGTCGATTGTGTTCATTGATGAAATTGATGCAATTGGTAAGCAAAGAAGCAAGGGTAACGCTCTGGGTGCTAATGATGAGCGTGAAACAACTTTGAACCAGTTGTTGGTGGAAATGGATGGGTTCGACACCACCGACCACGTGGTGGTATTTGCTGGTACTAACCGTCCCGACATTTTGGATAAGGCATTGATGAGACCGGGGAGATTTGACCGTCACGTTTACATCGACAATCCCGAACTCCAAGGCCGTAAAGAGATTTTCGAAGTGCATCTCAAGAAGATCAACTTGTCGAAGGATATCGAGCACGATCTCGCTGGCAGATTGGCCGCTCTCACTCCTGGCTTCTCTGGTGCTGACATCGCCAACGTTTGTAATGAAGCTGCTCTTATCGCTGCCCGGTTTGACGCCAAAACTGTTGGCTTGCGTCACTTTGAATTAGCCATCGAACGTGTAATTGGTGGTGTTGAGAAGAAGTCGAAGGTGTTAAGCCCTGATGAAAAGAAGGTTGTTGCTTACCACGAAGCCGGTCACGCAGTCTGTGGCTGGTACTTGGAACACGCTCATCCTCTTTTAAAGGTGCTGATTATCCCCCGTGGGTCGGGCGCTTTGGGTTACGCTCAATACTTACCCCCTGACCAATACTTGTACTCGCTGCACCAATTGATTGATCGGATGGTGATGACTCTTGGGGGTCGTGTTTCGGAAGAATTACACTTTGACTTTGTCACCCTGGGTGCTCATGATGATTTCAAGAAGGTTACCCAAATTGCTCAGCTGATGGTTTTGAGATTTGGTATGTCTAAAGCCGTCGGTATGGTCAATTACGCTGACACTCAGTCGCAAGACAACCTCACCAAGCCTTACTCAGATGACACCAACGCTTTGATTGATGACGAAATCAAGCGTATCGTTCGTGAATGTCATGATAGATGTCGCGACTTGCTCAAGGAGAAGGCTGATGCTGTTGAGTTAGTCGCTCAAGAATTGTTGAAGAAGGAGTTCATCACTCGTGAGGACATGATCCGTTTGTTGGGTAAGCGCCCTTTCCCTGAAACTAACGACGCCTTCGACAAGTACTTGGACGGCAAGGATGCCTTCAAGCGTGACGAACAGGAGGACATGAAAAAGTTTGAAGACGGTGAGACGAAGAATGAGGATGACGATAAAAATGCCAATTAACATACGCCCTGTATATAGAAATCATTAAGGATAAATCAGTAATGTGGCGATTGGACGCTGTAAGTGATGGCACCTGGAGTTCAACCAAATGAGCCACTCCACGAATAACTAGTCTTATTCCACTCAAAGAAAGTTAACGCTACAATGATCACCAAAGGGACATAGTTGCCTTGCACAGACCAGCCAGTTCGCCTTCTGCTCAAGCGCTAGCTGGTATAGATTGATGCAAGGCCTCTGACCGTGCTTCGTTGCTTCTACGAGTATAATCTTTTAGGTGGCATGGTTTACTATTTCATGAACCCAGCAGTGGTTATTTAAGATTTGTGTTCATGTGGATTGTGCCTCTCGAAGGACTCGACGGCGAGTTTCCGCTGACCCTACATATCGCGCCCCTGTTCAACCATTTGGTAAATATCCATCGCGAGATCGATGACACCACCGCAAGCTGTGATTGGCTACGATTAATCTTTTGATAAGAATTATGTGGGCGTTGTCGTGTGAACAACAATAGCCTATGTTTGGATCTATTTGCCTGACGGTGGTGGCATTTGGAAGAAACAGCTTCTCCACGCCATCTCCAGAAACCATGGTACTGTCGACATTGTTATCGATTCGAGTCGTCTTCGAATACCTGCTGCCTATTGATATAAGATATTGCTTTGACCTAGTGGGCGTCGTATAGGTGGGCGTCGCACCTGCACCCCATCTCCGTCTAAATCGTTTGCATGTCCCTGCAAGGGCAGGTCGTCAAGCCAACCCGAAGAGCGAGCAAGGCTTTATCAGATCCGCAAAGTAAACGTTCTGGGCTGGAGATGGCCCATGAACCATGGTCGACTGTATATTGCTAGATCCAATACCATAGGCAAATCTCCATGATGATTTCGTGTGGTCATAACGCCCACCGGTCTCTGTACGGCTGAGGGGATACTGCATATGCGATCGCGCATAAGCCATCGTCTGGTGCGAGATGGCTGGCTCTGCCCAAAAAATGTGTCAAGAATACACTGCGAGCGATTTGTGGGGATGGACCGTCGATTCTAGTTGAACCCAGCTCTTGTGTTGACTTGTCATGACCATAGTACCCTTGAAATCTTACGGTATTGGGCCTTTCAGCGTTATCCAGGCCTTCGAAGACAATGAAGAGAGAGTCGCCGTATCTGCACCTACGACGCCTTGAACGAAGTTACGAAGCCATTGAGGGGTAAAATTAGTCTAGGCGGTGCTAATTTGCGGGATTTTAGCTCGGGTTACCCGCCCCGAAAAGGCCCAACTTCATCAGTGCCGCAGAAGTATAAAGCTGAGCGAATTTCCCACCTTTCAGTAAGATTTTCTTACCACTTCCTGCTCCCTTAAAGGTTGATGCCATTTACGAACATTTGCTGAGTACTCTATAACGTGTGATTATCTGGGGTCCCGGTTTTGAGGGTGTGTCCCCACGGGTAGCCCCCAATAACTTTGTGTCTGTTAGACTCGAGGTATCGTTGTCGTTCCTTAATAGTCTTCATCGAGTTGGTGATGCGGCGGGGAAGTGGCCAGCGTTGTCTTTCAAGGCGGCGTCGATGAGCCATGGACTGCTGGCAGCCAGCCTCCTAGAGGTCTGGAAGATGAAACCTGCACTTGATCATCGAGTGTGGAGTAGTCTTCGTAGACGGGCAGCCGGTTAGCTGAAACGAACGCCCATGTTCAGTACGTGAAGCCGGCCATATTGTCTTAGCTTATTGGGGATCACTGATGACTTCGGTCGTGCTCCTTTTTTTTGTATCTTTTTCACTGTTGTGGGGGAAGCTTATGTTTTATATTTATATACTTTAAATGCAAACAATGAAAATTATGAAAGTCATCAGCATATTTAATTTCTGTCCACAATTGTAGATATTCAATTCGGTGGATCTCCGAGAGACTACTACCACGTGCCGGTGTTCGTTGAAGGGATCCATCATGTCAGCAATAAGGATACACTTCAGAGTCTTTGGAAAATTGGTAGTAGTCCTCAATATCCGTAAGATCTCGTTTAAACACACAAGGTTGGCTTTGGTGCTTAGAATAGTGTTTGGTCGATTGCTTGAGAGAAAAGCTAAAGCACGGAAATGATCCCAACACTTGAGTCTCATTGAGAATCGACAGCAATAATAACCTGTGATTCAATATTTGTGATGAGTCTGACAAAACCCGTCCCACAACTGCTTGGAACATGCCCTCATTGAGAGTCAGATGGACAACGAAATACTTCCCAGGCACGTTCGCTATTCGATCGTATCTGGGAACGTCGTAGGCTACAGTGACTATTTGCTAAGCTGTGATTGCTTGATCTTGATCCTTCAAAATACATAACTAGTATTTTTAGATTAAAACACGTGTACCCATCAAATTTGACTACGTATGCATCCACTCGTTTGATTGACCCTTTGCTACTCTGATTCAAACAAGGTTATTTTTTAAATTCTCGTAAATTCCGATATAGTGTAGTGGTTATCACTCAGCACTCTCCATGCCGCGACCGGGGTTCGATTCCCCGTATCGGAGTCTTCTTTTTGGACCTTAAATCCCAGCCAGTTCTTAGTCCCAGTCGGGACTAGCAGGTAATATCTCAGTTATTTCTGCCGGGCCCTCTCTTTTTCGTTAAAGACTTTGCATCTCATGAGCGATGCCCATGGCTGGCTATCCTGCAACCACCTCGGGTTCCATGTGTAATCACGGGTTATTCTTAAATCTACGTGGGATCTAAATTGGTAGCTTGCTCATGGTGCATCGTTTACGAGACCCACACTCCGAAGTTAAATTGCTCAAGCTTTATCCTAGTAAAATCCCCACTTCTCAAACCTAACAGTACCCTTCGGGGGCGTAAGGTGGAACTGGGTGTTGTTGTCCTTCTTACCCTTACCTTATTGCCCCGCAGGAGCGGCAGCAGCTTTTGGCACGCTCAGCAGTTTTGGTCAACATTCGGCGAAGATTACTGAGCATTAGCTATTTAAAAAAAAACTTTTTCGCACCCCACTGCCCCCGGCAGCTGAGTTTAAGCCAGGTGAAGAATATAGAGAAGAAGGGGACATGAAAGTAATTGGTGGTTTTATTGAGTTTGACCTGAATCAATCAATTTTTTGAAGTGCATAAGTAATTATCGGGGTGTGTTGGTAATTATTTAAGTGCACAATGGTGATGCGAAATACTGGTGATAGTGATGATCACGAAAAACTTGATTACTTCAAGCAATTAGAAACTGTAATATTCAACCACTATATATTATACTTTCTGATACCGTCTATTTGATGAATGACGTTGAAGTATAATAAAGTAGTGTGGTCCACTTCCCGCGAATAACTGGTGCCGGCACAAGTATTTCAATGGCAGAACCCATCAACTTAGAACGCTTGGCGGTATTTAGCGTTTTCTTTGTTGGGGTACATCGGCTGTTGTTGCGCCGAGTACATGTTGGGGTCGGTGTACATCGTGGCCGGCTTTTCGTAGTTTTGCGAAGAGTTGTGTTTAGAGCGCTTATTCCGACCACAGCAACAACAGAAGCACCCAAAGCACGCATCACCACAGGCCAAACCGTAGTAGAAACAGCGAAAAATGGTGCCCAACACCCAGATGACAATGAGGCTACCAATGACAATCAACACTATTGACACCACCGTACATGCGGTGTCCTTCATACACAAATCCCACAGTCGCCACAGGCCGCCAACGTCGCTCCTGCTGCCGGTGGCATCGTCGATAAAATTGCGTCCCACAAGATAGAAAGCGTTGATCACTTCGTTAGGAATCGGAGACATGATGTTTCGGTGTGGTGAAAACAGGAGATGTGTTTTGTTATATTTAAGGTGACGCCGTAGCAGACTATGCCCTTTTTAGTCCCGAATGTAATTGAGCTTTTCGTCGCTGCGCCCTCTTAGTGTAATAAAAGAACACGAGGTGATCAGAGGCAGTACCCGCCATTTCTGGGGCAGGGCAACAGACAGGTACAAGGATGTTGGAGTTTCCCAAAATCAATGAACCGTTGGTATTCGTTTAAACCAGTAGTTCATGGCTTGTACCTCATAAATTTGCTAAAATCGCGGTTGGTGGAGTTTAGTGTTAATGGGGAATCTAACATGGGTAGACTTAGCATCGAAGTTGTAAACAGTAATTTCGTGCATACAAACTGACAGCGATGTTTTGCTAGCTGCACGCCCAGCCGCCTGCAGGCTCAGCCTTGAGACAGCGGGCTCGACACCCATTACCAGTATACCTAAATTTAGATCTCGAGGAGATGTTGGACAAGTAGGTCCATAGTCCCGTACTGTGCATCGTAGCTGGGTCGGCACCCGTGACCGTCGTAGCCAAATTTAGATTTAAAGGAGAGAATGTTTAGGCAGGCCCGTAGTCGCGGACTGTATAACAGAGACCATTGCCAAACACATGGATGTTTTCTCCCAGAAATGGTGTTGTTGGTGGTATCACATAGTGCTTAGGATTATTTCCATAGTGGAGTAATTCATGATCCTCCCACGGCAATGTGATTGAGTCCTGATAACGACGTCTACCTTGCTGGTGTTGCCTTGATGCCAGCAACAAAGAAAGCTCGACGGTATTATGAATCGATATATGGATGGTTTCTGGGGGTCCCACCATATTCGTTTCTCGAGTGCCGATAATTCCTCGGAATCAGCGTTTTCTTCGCTGCTGGCGCCAGGCCAATAAGCACAGAAACTCAGCGGGCAAAAGTCGTGATAAGTTTACCATCCCTGAATTCGGCCACTTGACGTTTCTTACCGTCTATAATCAGTGGGCACGTCAATTACGCTCAGCGGATTGTTCAGCGGCCAATTTTTTTCAACAGGAAACGGATGATGAAGGGACGTGAGATTTGCCAACTAGAAGGGATACCTGAGCAGCCAAAGCTGGTCTGAAAGTGCCTCTATGCCGGATTTTTTGCCCTAGCAGCAGTAGTGGAATAACTCCAATAGCGGGATGTCGGAGTTTCTGCTGCTTCACCATCTTTGTAAGAAGTTATTTTTGCCCCCGACGTCAGTGCTAGTGGGGGCAAAATTGTTGTGTCCCTAGGTGATTTATCATCTGCTTATGATGCCTAGAAAGAGTACATTTCCTGTGTCACCGTGTTGGATCTACTGTGGCTTGCCAATTATAGTGGCATGTATGTTAGCGATCTACACAAGCGAAGATTTGATTTTATTACAAAAAGTGTTGCCAATGAATTTCAAATCACATTAAAGAGACGACGGTGGTGGCACCTGCTTTGGAGACGGTAATGGTCACTCGTCGTCGTGGTCTTTAAACCACCCGTAAGCATTAATAGATATTTGCAGAATTTTGTAAACGCTAGATCGAAAAATGTGGAAACTTCTAATAACTATTCACTTCGGGTTTCAGTTATTGAATTCTTTTGAACGTTTGAGACAGAAGCTGAAGGCGTTTCTCACACTACAAATTGAAGCCAAGCATCATGAATTTTTACTAGTCTTCACGGATAAAATTCGCCTTTAGGGTTTACAATTTTCTTTGGATATCTCCGCTCTGGATTATCCAACCATCCCCTGTCAATTATTCCTAATCGTTTCACAATGGGCTTTTTTGCTTTCGAAGGCGTTTACGAGAAACAAATACTGAAACTTCTGCCTTCAACTCAGGTTGGCAAACAAACTCTTGATCAACTAATCTTTTTTTTTATCCTTAGTTTTGCATTGATATCTAACTTAAAAACTTACATGCTCCTTAGAGGATCTCAAGTGTTTGTAAAGCCTTCGTTCTCGATACCCTGCGATCTGAGAAAGCCGACAACGGCGAAAAACTCAGTATATTTTTATATAATCGTTTGCATTAATCTAACTGTAAAAATATGTCTAAGAGGTCCATCTTAGAGGATACTCAAGTGTTCCACCCTCGTACAAAAAAACCAGCCAGATCGCGCGAAGTGAATGACATCATTTCTCTGCGCTTTACAAACCCATGTATGATCATTTTCTCGAGTTGATGTTGTATTATCTAAGGATGAAGCTGATACTATCCAATTGCTCTAAACGTAAAAGAGGCGGGACGTCGAGATCAGAACACAAACACAGATACTTGTAAGTAGCCAATACTAGTTGTTCCTCTCTCGACGCCCCGCCAGGGTATTGTGCTGGGTCTGTACGGTGAATGCAGGGCCTGCATTCACCGAGCGGGTGACTTCAGCTCAGCCTAGGGTTGCACCCTAAGCTGCCCGCACCGAGATAACTCCGTTGCCGGAGTTATCACGTATGCTTCTATATAATACTCACGCGGACTCCTCCCGAGTGCACCACCGCCGGAACCTACCGGCGAATACCCATGCCCCGGTCACCTACCAGTAAACCTATACCGGTGTGTAAGTATCTTCGACGGGGTATTCCTCCAAGGCCGAACGAACCATACAACAGTTGAACATGAGGTCCCTTGGCCCAGTTGGTTAAGGCGTGGTGCTAATAACGCCAAGATCAGCGGTTCGATCCCGCTAGGGACCATTCTTTTTGCTTTTGATGAGTTTTAATGGTGTGAAGATACGAATTGTGTATTATTTGGTTTCATTTCCTTGCTTTGCTCTTCAAGTCACAGCTTTGAGGATCGTAATAATTCAACTTACGTGCGCGGTGATGAGAACACATTGAATATCGTTCTTTTGCATATTAAATTCTCGAACTAATTGAAGCATTGAAACGAATTTTTCTTGGATTACAAGTCAATGATTGACTTAACCGTAAACATTATCAAAATTTGCGAATTTGCCATAAATCGCAAGTTCGAGTCAACAAGAATAACACACATCAATGAAAGCATGATCACAAGTATAGTGTGTACTCATCTTTCATTAAGGAAAAAATTATAGGATATTTCAAATTGTATTAAAAAGATTCTTATCTGCGTTGATGGTGTATACTCATGAGTGTGAATGCGACTTGGGAAATCTCATCTACTCGCGATGGTGTAACTTATGTTCATATACCAACATGATGTGTCAAGCATGCTCGAATATGTATCTGGATTCTTAACTCCACTAGTAATTATTAACCTTTTGAGCATAAGCCAGATTCAAAAACCTGAAAAAACTAGCGTTGCTTGGTTTCGATCCAAGGACCTTTGGGTTATGAGCCCAACGCGCTACCACTGCGCCACAACGCTTTCTTGTGTTAATTTACATAGCGGATGAAATAGTCTTGATCAAGACGATCAGTTTTTGAACTTTGGGGTTATATCCGCAAAGCAGACTACGAGACTTATATATATGTTCAAAAAAGATATAGAAACTAGATTAAAGTGCACAGTTGCCGAAAATCGCTCAAAATGTAAGTGTCAACACGCCTTCCAGAAAATCCAGGGACGAAACTAAAGTCCATTTCCTCGTGGAAGGGGGCTGCCGCCGGCCTTCTCCATGAATGGCGACCCGATATTTTTTAGTTGTTCTTATGGGCCGAAAGAGGCCAAAATTCTGACTGGGCTAAAGTTTGAATCCGGCAATTCGCAGATCATTCCTTGGTTTCTTCAATCAGCCTAAGTGAAGGCCATAAGATATCTTCACAAACGATCCACGAAATTATCAGACTTGGAAATCGCTTTAAGATCAGCTTTAATTAGTCCATAAAGGAGTTCTGAGGCAAACAAGTAGAATACACCACTCGGGGTTCATTAAAATATCACCATTACACTATCATCTAGCATTTGTCATTACTATACGTTATAATACAACCGCGCTTGCGCGGTACTACTGCTGCAGAGCCTCAAACTTCTGCTGCATCCGAATGGCGGTAGAGTCCTCGACGTCATCGTACACATCCTTGGGGACGTCGAGCAAACCGGTGACCTTACGGTTAATGTCCCTGTTCACGAAGAAAGTGTCGATAACAATGCCGTCTTTCAGAGGGCCAATGCGCTTCATCGAGCACCGCAGTGGTTGAGTCAGTTCTGGGTAGAACACCAAGTTTGAATATAAATCCTTTACCCCATGATTCAAAGCCACCAGCCGGTCATCCAAGAGCTTCTTGTTGTAATTCGACGTTTGCGAAGCAATCAGGTAAAGCCACGTTTGGTCGGTGGGCAACGGTGCCGCATAACTAGGCAAGTCGGGCACATCCGCGGAGGGTAAGTCGAAGCTGCCGCCACCGATGTATTGGTTTTTGCGATAGAGTTCTTGAGGGTCAGCGGGTTCGCCAGAGACATCGCCGTTGTCAATGGCTCGTTGTTCCCAAAAATCGTCAATCACTTTCTTACCATCCTTGATCATTCGCGCACCAAACTCACGATAGATGGAGCGCGCAGTCACCAAATTCACTGCCCGCCCCTTGTACGAGTTGGGCAACAAGCCCCGCTCAATAAGATCCTGTTTCTCTTCGTTGGTACAGATCTTTTTGTACAAGGTGTGCGGGTGGGTCTTGAACAAAAGGTACGAGTCACGGAACCCCACCAACCGCGCCGGCTCTGTCAGCAACATGAACAATTGGTCACCCAGGTTCATCACTGTAAATACCCGGTTGCGGTACTCACGCCCACCTAAAAGATGGCCGTTTTCGTCGACTTTTTCCTTGGCTTTGGGGTCCTCGTCAGGGATGATAATTTCGTCACGTTCCACCAGTAACGGGTTGCCGTTCTCATCCAAGTAAGTCATTTCCAGCGGGGGTAACATCTTTTTGCGCCCGCGGTGCTTTTTCTCAGGCTGCGCCACCGCCTCCTCTTCTTCATTGTCTTCCTTCTCCAGATCGTCATCGCGAATGCGCTTGCGGCGTTCGCGGTGGGGTCTGGATACCTCGCCTTCGTCGTAGTCATCCTCGAATTCGTCGTCTTCGTCGGGAGGGAGCGGTGGGAGCCCGTCGAAGTCATCGAGCCCGTCCTGGTTATCGTCGCTGCCATCATCGGCGGCGTCATTCTTCACCGCTTGTTCGTCACCGTCGTCACCATCCTGACTCAACTTGTCATCCTCGGCGGCCTTGACGTCATCAGCAACATCGTCAGCCTCCTTTTCGTAGTCGCTATCGCGAGGCTCGTCTTTAGACATGGTTGGTGAAGAGTTAGTTTTCGCGGACTGCACAGAAGTTTTGACCAGCCAACGCGACCTATACATTTGGCAATAAAGGTAATGTCGCTACAAGAGCAAAACATAAACAATTTTGATCAGTAAACGATACCAATTAATCGGATTCAGATGATCTTTACTTTTTAGAGTGAGTCGAGTTTTGAGATTGCTACTTGTTGTCGTTAAAGTGGTGACACTAGGTACATAGCCCCAGGGTTAATTAAACAGGTTCAAGTCGTAGTTGATGACATTGATCACCACCGTGAGGCCGCCCAGCTCGTATCCAAACGCTTGCGTACGCGGAAGATTGATGTCATTGTACCGATTGAGTGGGTGGGGTATAGGGTCCATCTTGAAGCACGTCCGCAAAAAGAGCACCAACCGATTGTATTGGAACATGTCTTGGACCTCGACAATCGCCTGGGTAATGTACGAAGAGCTGTGTGCTTGGTTAGAAAGAACAATCTCCTGGTTATCCATGCGGTTTTCGTAGGACATGTTGATCATATTTGTGCGGAGATCGTCCACTTGTTGGGTAACTATGGCAAGGTTCTTCATGTCGTAAAGACGAATCAGTCCGGCGCTTCCGTAGGAGTGGCCTAATGAAATAGCATCTACTTTCACCGGAGGGAAATAGTTGGTGTTTAAGTAACGATCACTGTAGCTCCCTTGTAAGTAGATAAGACTTCGCATGGCGTCTTCTGCCACCGCCCGATTTTTATGAGAGTCAACCATAGTCTGATTGAAGATTTCAAGCGTCAAGTACCCGTCATATCCGGTGTCGTGCACCACTTTCAAGTCCTCGATGAGTGAGGGGAAATTACCTTGGAAGGGGAGCACACGGTAGTGCTTAGCGAAGTACGCCAAATCGGTAAGCTTCAAGTTGGGGGCATCGCAAAGTTGAACGCTGAACAACTTCTCCTTCAATATATTGAGCTTCTCAATCGTGGGACGATGCATATTGATGTGGAAGGAGTCTATGCAGATGCCAAAATTGGGTTCGTCAACTTTTTCAACAATTTCACAAAGCTTTTCAAGTGTGTGAACATTGGTGGCCCAACTGACACTTTCGTACGCCAATTTAATCCCTCGATTGGCGGCTAACCTCGACGCAGTTCGGAATTGGTCAACGATTATATTCATATCGTCCAGCGGATGGGGGAGGGTGTTGGCACCGATGATCAACATGTTGGTGCACAATTGGTTCATGATGATGAAAAACTTCTTCAACTCGTCGATTTTGGCGTAGAATTCCTCGTTGCAGTTCCACCCACCGAGATCTCGAAACGGCTGAAGCGCCGTCACCTTGAGGTCTAGGTCGACGCAATAGTCGTAGATGTCGGGGAGATACTCAATTTCCGCCACGTCCAGAGGCGTGAGCTCTACCCCTTGGAAGCCGGCGTTGTGGATCAGCAAGAGCTTCTCCCAAAGATTACCCGAGAAACACACGGTGGCAATCAGCGGCTTGATCTTAAGCTCCTGGATCATGCGATCAAACTTGCGGGTCCGCCCCAGCGCCAGGGAGCTGTGTCTTATGGCCATCTGGGCGCACACGCGTGGTAGTCTGAACATGGTGGCGGGTTGGGGCTACCGTTGTCCGGTATATCGACGGCGGTCTTGGTGCGCTTTTGTGGGGAACGTCCGCCACACGCGCACCGGCAATAATCATCGGACACTTTTCGCAGGAGGCAATTATCAGGTAAAGATGTCAATCAGGCCCAATTGCTTTCAAAAGGTTACACTGAAATAATGATTAGAAATTTCTCTGAACATGATGATTTTGGACGTATCCGGGCCCAAGTACGTTATTTTATATGTTAGGATTGTATAATGCAAAGGTATCGATAAATTCAGATATAATGTCTTTTCGTGCTATTAGGTTTCGTTACTATGTACAGTCATCTCGATTGGTCCTTGGACTTTTTTCTTTTGATGATTTCGTTGGCGACACTGTTGAAGTCGACGTTCTCCTTCAAGTTGGTGAGGGCGATCTTCTCCACCGGCACCGGGGGAACTTTCCCGTCGACGACGCCGGCAATCAACGGGAAGTAATCCGGCAGCTTGATCCAGTTGCCGATAAACCGTTTCACTGCCGAGTTGTCTTGTTGGTAGTTACGGTAGGCATGGAGCAAGGCAAGGTAAAGGTCGGTGCGTTCCTGGGTGGGGGCGGCGGCAAAAATGGTTGAGTCTCTCAACGCGGCCCAGTCGGCCACGGGGATGTACTTGATGCGGTCAGCGTCCAACTGGCGGAGTGACTGGTTCCACAGAGCGACGATGTCGGCACACAGTGCCTCGGGGATCAGCCCCAACTTCTTGAGGGCAATGCGGTACAGCACCTGGGTACGGTCAATGCCGAACGAGTCGTACATCATCACCAACTGGTCGTACACCCGCTTGTCGTTCCACAGGTAGTTAGAGATGACGTTGTTCACCATGTACTCGTCCAACTTCCGGTTTTCTTGGTACAACGACAAAATGTCGCGTAACTCCGCCAGTGACTCGTCGTTAAGCTGAGGGTACATGGCGAAGAATGCCTTGAAGAACGCGTTGTTGACCACCGAGTACCGCAGGTACAAGGCCTGGGCGTTGTGCACCTTAGCCTCTTCGCTTTGGTAGTAGGTAATAGTCTTCATCCACACGTGTTTGAGCAAGTCGAGGTTATTTTGAGCCAGAATGTTGGTCAACAACAGCGCCACACAGTCCACCTTAAGGAGGGGGCGGTAGGGCAAGTCGTTGTTGACCACCTTATCGAAGAAGTGAGAGGCAATGCTGATGTCCTTGCAACTGCGGATGAACTCCAAGTGCAAAGTGCACAACGCTCTAAGCACCATCAGCTTCGACTGGTGGTCGGACGAGGTTTCGTAGGATTGGAGCAACAGCTCGAACAAGTCCAACCCACGCAGGTAGTCGCCCGCCGACACCGCGATCTGCCCCATCAGCGAGAGGAGACGGGGGTCGGTGGTGAATGCCAGCGGAGTGCTGCCAGGGTCAGGGGTATCTTTGTTCAACTCGAAGATCTGCCACGCCTGTTCGTAGGTGAACCGGTTCAGCAGGTAGCCGAGGGGGAGCACGGTGGCGAGGACGATCTGCGACATGTATATCGGCGCCATGTCTTGCAAGGTGATGTTGTATTCCCAGAGGCCGAAAAGCTCGCGGTCCATGTTCATTTCCTGGAGACACGAGATGAGCATCTTGACGATGCCCGGGTTGAGCACCGCGTTACACTCGCCGCGGTTGATCACTTCGGTGATTTGTTGAGTCAACAACGAAAGCGTGGCCTCGTCGACATAAGCCAGCCGCGACCGCTGGTCCTTATCGCGGTTTTTGGAACCCAGCAACCGGGCGTCGCGGGAACCTTTGATTAAATAGCGCATCATCAGCACCACGTTGAACACGTTGCGGCTCAGAAGAACCCGGCGCAAGTCGCCGTCCTCCAAGAACAACTCGATCACCCGCTGCATCGCCTCGAACCGCTTGGCGGCGTCGTGAGACAGCCGTTTTGCCCGCGGGTTGTGGCGGTCCTGCAACACGATCGCCTCCTGCAAACAGTCCTGGAAGTGGTTGAGCTTGGCCTTGGTGTCCCAGTCCATACGAGGGGCATCAAGCTTATCGGGGCGGGGGTCGAGGGACCTCGGGGGCGCCACCGTCAGCTTGGGTTCGTGCACCGGCGGGAGGTTGGCGACGTTGAGCGAGCGGAACGAGCCCTGCTGGAGGGTCACCCCGGAGCGGGGCACGTTCTGGCCCCTCACTTTCGAGAGCAACGCCGGCCGCAACCCGGCCTGCGCTTGAATTAACCGAAACATGGGTCGTGTGGTGGTACGTAGGGATTAGGTGAGGGATGATGGCACGATGGCGAGAAAAATGCGACTACTCGGCCAGTGGCCCTCGGGGGCTCGAGGATGACCGGTTAAGAGCGCCTCCCTCTGACTCACACTAACAAAATGAAATATTGATTTTGATTTGAGTGGGGTAGTATATCGCTTGTTGTTTATAGTTTTTGGTGATGTTGAGGTAGACTCGGTTGTCGCGTGACATCGCCGTCTGTTTGTACTGCTGGTGGCAATGGGTCGAGAATCGGCGATTTTGTGCGAGCCAGTGACGTCAGCGGCCACCGATCAGCCCCGCGACTAGGGCTCAGCCCTTAGCCCACCACCAGCGCCAGTGGTAGCACAAAAATAACACAAAATTAAACTTTGGTTGAACTAGCCCTAATTATTCATTACTTATTATCCTCTGGCTAAATCTTATTTGCATGTGGCACCCTTAGGTGTCGGAGCCGGGCACCTTATCGGTGATTGCGCACTCACTATCGCTAGCGTTTTCCTACCATACCCACCTCCACCACCATTACCAGCACATTGCCCGGGATGGAGACGACGCCGCTTGTGCCCGGGGTGGCAGGAACCAAGGCCAGCGCCTCCAGCGCCAAGCTCGACACGTTCCTGGGGGTGTTTGTCCCCACCACCTTGAACGTGCTCCTGATCCTTATGTTCCTCCGCTTCGGGTTCATCATCGGCCAGATGGGCATTGCCGGCACCTTCGGCCTTCTCTTGCTTTCCTACTTTATCAACGGGCTCACGGTGATGCTGATCTCGGCCATCAGCACCAACGGCACCGTCAAAGGCGGCGGCGCCTACTACATGATCTCGCGGCTGTTAGGCCCCGAGTTCGGCGGCGCTGTCGGCATCATTTTCTGCTTGGGACAAGTGCTCAACAGTTCGTTGAACGTGGTGGGTCTCATCGAGCCCATATTGGTCAATTTCGGCCAGGAGCTGGGGGTGATCGCCAAAGTGCTCCCCACGGGCTACTGGCCCCAATTCGGCTACTCGCTGATCCTCCTCGCCGTGTGCACCGCGGTGGCGATGGTGGGGGCGCAGCTCGTGCTGAAAACCGGGTTCTTCTTGTTCATCATCTTATTTATCCTGACGGTGCTGGTGCCGATCCTGGCGATCTTCAAACAGCCGTTCCACCCGTTCCCGCCTCCATTTGACAACTTGACCTATACCGGTCTTTCATGGGACACTGTGCGCTTGAACATGTGGCCTCAGTTTACTCTGGGCGCGGCCGGGTCGGTGATGCCGCCAGGAGTGAAGGAGAACTTCCGCAATCTCTTTGGCATTTTCTTCCCCGCCACCGCCGGGATCTTCGCCGGGGCTAGTATGCTGGGAGAACTCAAACATCCCAGTAAATCAATCCCTCTTGGCACGATTCGCGGGCTTCTGCTCACGTTCGTCCTCTACTCATTCGTCATTCTTGCCCTCGGCCTGCTGACGCCGCGGCAAGTGTTGCACCACGACATTGGCATTATTCAGACAATTAACCTTCACCCCGTGGTGGTGATCATGGGGGAGTTGGCCACCTCGCTCTTCTCAGTGATCATGGGGATCGTGCTGGCACTGACAATGCTCACAGCGATTGCTGGCGACCGTATCATCCCCGGCCTCGAGCGGTTCAGTCGAGTAAAGAAACTGCCCCAACAAAAGAAGAAAGCCGACGTCTACTCCATCTTAGCCACCTGGCTTCTCGCTCAGTTCTGTCTCTTTGCAGACATCAACGAGATCGCCACGTTCATCACCATGGCCTTCCTCATGACATTCATCGTCACCAACATGGCGTGTTTTCTTCTCCGCATCGGCTCGGCGCCTAACTTCCGTCCGCTGTTCCGCTATTTCAGCTCCAAAACTGCTGGTCTCGGAGTGCTCCTGTGCCTTGTGGCTATGTTTATCGTCGACGGCATCTCGGCTACCCTCATCATCTTTTGCCTCATGTTGCTCATCTTGATCATCCATTACTGCACACCTCCTCTGCACTTTGGCGACATTTCTCAGTTGCTTATCTATCACCAAGTACGCAAGTACCTTTTAAGGTTGAAACTTAATATGAGCGTCAAGTACTGGCGACCTCAAATTTTGCTTCTTGTCGACTCTCCTCGGACACTGTGGAACCTTATAGGGTTTTGCAACCACTTGAAAAAAGGAGGGCTCTACATCCTAGGGCACGTGGTGATCCAAAGCGACGAGAGTGCTAACCCCACCCTGATGTTTGGCGAAGTAAAGAAACAAAAGCAGGCGTGGTCCAAGTTGCGAGATATGCTCAACATCAAGGCATTTGTCCAGATTGCTTGGGGTCCCTCTATCGTGTGGGGGGTACGCAATGTATATTTAGGTCTGGGGCTCGGTGGTATGCGACCCAATATCACCGTGCTTGGGTTTTACGACTTTGCCAAACGGGGTCTTGATTCGTTCGCGTTGACTTCAGGTAAACTGTCACTGGGGCTCCCCACTGACGAATGTCGTGCCGAGCGTAAAGTGCTGATAAGCCAGTGGGTCCAAATAGTGGAGGAATTGGTGATCATGCAAGCCACAGTGGCCGTTGCTGCTAACTTTGGTAATCTTCACCTCCCCGACCTCAAGTTCAAGCCTCACCACGTCTTCTCCAAGTATAAGACGAAAATGAGGCTCGATCACGAGCAGAAGCGGTTTATCGATTTGTACCCGATTCAAATGCTGAGCATCAACCAAATGGGTGACGGCAAGCTGGTTTTGAGTACCAACTTCGACACCTACACGTTGATTCTTCAATTGGGAGCGATCTTGGCCACGGTTGACGAATGGAAGTATTCGCACCAGTTACGAGTGATTGCCTTTGTTGAAACCAAGGAAGAGATTGCTGAAGAACAGGACCGGTTAGCAGAGTTATTAGACTCATTGCGGATTGATGCCATCACAAAGGTGGTAGCGTTAGATCAAGGACTCCCCGGCGAAAAGGGGCTTGCGTCGTATAACTTTGTTGTCAAAGGGTATAACAAAACTCCTTTCAACGCTAACGAGTACGCTCGCATTGACCAAGTACTCAAAGGCGACCAGTGGTGGCGCAACTTGTGTCAAGCTCGCGAGGCATTAAAGGAAATCGACCGCAAGCGCATGTTACGAAACCAGCTGAAGGCGTTTCTTAACGAGTTTGGTAAGCCGCCGGTGGAACGGTTTGCGCCCTTGAATTTAGGCGGCGGCACCTATGGGTCAATGCAGCCACTGCTTCAAGTCCCTAAATCAATGCAGCGACGTGCTACTCTTTCAAATTTGAACCAACAGGGGATGCTGCTTTCGTTTGGCATGCGCGCCGGCTCCAACTACTTCCCCGGTGACGCAGGAAGCGACTACCTGGAGCTGGAGATCGAAGACGAAAGGCTGCCTACACCACCACCAAACTTTCGCGACCCGTTCGTCCTCAACTCAGACTCTACTTATGTTGAATCAAGTTCGCCCGTACAACCCGAATCTCCGCAGTTGACCGTCGAGCCTTCGAATGTGCTGATTAGGCTGTCAGTGTCCAACTTACGCCCTAACTTTAGTGCGGTGAAAATCCCTAAACCGTACATTAACGATGACGAGGACGACGTAGCTGGTGATGATGACGAGGAGAATAAGCCGTCGATCCAGTTTGAGGAGACGTCCGATGACGAAGGTACTTTGACCATCAAGCCGCGGGCAACGCCAAGCGCAAAGCCGTCGTCCCGAAATATCATCAACAATTATGAGATTAACGAACAATTAAAGACGCCCCAATTCTTGGCTCAAGATGATGACGATGTTGAGATTCCTCCGCAACGGCTTGACGATTGGCAATCTTCGCCGAAATTGCTGGCTCGTAAGGTGAGCTCCACTAGCGGTATCACCAAGCGCCAGCTTCAGGAGGAACTCAAAGGACTCACGTTCAGTGACTTGCCGGCTAAAGGCCAACACTTGATCCTTAATGATCTCATGAAGGTCATGCTGCCTCAAGCTACCACCGATGTCATTTTCCTGACACTTCCAGCCCCAGTACTTGGCACCCACAAGAATGAGGCCGACTCTATCGAGTACACGCGGAACTTGGCAGTGTGGTTCGAGGGATTGCCGCCGGTGTTGTTGTTTAACTCACAAACAGTAACCGTGACCACAAACCTTTAAATGTTCAATATACATTCATAGCATTTCATTATGCGAGTCTCTTGATGTAGAACCCAAGGTTGGTTTATACATCGAAATGAAAGGCCCAAGCAACAAATTACAGGCTGATCACTGCTTGACAATGTCACCGATGGACTTCGATTTGAAGCGAGTTGAATCGATATAGTTCGCGGTCTCAGCCACATCTTGCACTCACATATAGCCAATGTGCTCGAACACATTACACGATATGTGGAATTGGAACGTAGAAGCTAGAAGTGAAAAGAAAACTTTCCAGATTAAGCGTTTGTTTGATTTCGGCAACACCCCAAGTCTATTGTGTACTTTATTATTTTTGGTGGATTGCGATGTTTGTAGCATTGTCAATAATGGTGAAACACCTCGTCTAACTTGGTCGTTTGTAGGCAGGCGCAGCGTGAGATATGCTAAACTCGTCACTTTGAGCTCATATACAAGATTCCAGAGTGATGAACTCATTCAGCTCAGCACTGTAGTCCCTATGTACGTCGATTTGGTTCGACAAGTCTTCTAGTGGGTAACACAATAGTTGGCAAACCTATCACACTTGCGAAGTTTCATACCTGCACATAGTAATTCCGACTGCATGTTGTGTGTAAACTGACCAAGTGTTTACACTGCTTATATTTCACTCTAGAAGAAAACCAACCACACCACTGTAATAATCCCCATTGAAAAAGTATTTAGACGGCAAATGGGATTTTTCCGAATTTTCCCTGAAAAAACTAAAAAGTGTGCTATAAAATCAGGAAAAATCGCTAAAATCAAACTGATAGCTTCATAAAATTCTTTGGCACCGGAAGTATAGTTGATGTGGTTTTGGGAGAGTTGACGTCAAAATTGGCGTCTCTATGTGAGTTTATTGGTGGTAAAAAAAAACTTTTTTTTTTTTTTGCAATTTTTTTTCGGACGATTTTGAGTTTGCAGCGTGGTCTAATACATCTACTGAGCGTTGGAGTTGACCTGTGATATTTGTAAAAGCGGTGAGAGAGGTGTAACACCTCGTCTACAGTCGATACCTGTATGCAGGTGCATGAAGAAATATGCAGAAAACAACAAGGTGAGCTGTATCACGCACTTACAGAGTTATCAGCTCGTATTTCAAAGCACGATCGTAAGCTTTGAGTATGCATACCTGGTCTGGTGGGTTTAAGTAGGTGTCGGCACCAGAGCTGATGCAGATATCAGGCTTTGAAGTCCGGGTACTGCACATAAGCACCGCAGTTGCATATCATTCATAAGTTTTCAATCAGGATTTTCGTCACGTATATCACACTCGAGAAAGAAATGAAATGCGTGACTGTGATGT